TTTTACTTTTCCGGAATCGCAACTGGTTAACCAGAGGACTTTTTTCAGGAACAGATGGATCCGACTTTCCTTCGCTCGGAGGCCAGTGAACCCGCCGTTTACCTTGGCTCGCTCGGCCGCCTCGCACGCCCAGTCTCGCCTCAATCCGTTTGGCTGAAAAATCTCCGGACTGGCAAGCTAAAGCGGAGCTCTCAAAGCGTAAAATATTTTCTGTCGGTATTGCGGTAACTCATTTCTCTTTTTTCTTTCTCTATTTTAAAGACTAGAAACGGCGATAAAAATGGTATTCCCGATAATCGATGATAACAAATGTGCGCTCGTATCCCCATCTAGAAATGTTTGCCAGCTGTTCTTTTCAGAGGTTGCATCTCGTGTTTTTTTTTTTTTTTTTTTTTTTTTTTTTTTTTTTTTTTTTCTTTCTTTCTTCTTTTTCTTCTTTCTCTACGAGTCGATAATTCATTCAGGGATTGGGAAGGGGCATCTGAGGCGGTTCTTTTCCTGCTGCCTCCTTTGGAAGATCAAAATGAAGAAAAGTGGGGAGAAAGAGAGGAGAGGGGAGAAAGAGAGGAGAGATAGGGGCAGATGCATAGAGAGGGAGAGAATACATGAGAGCTTAATTCAGCGCTAATTTACGCAGCTTTACGGCCGTCACAACGCGTAGTACAATTTACAATTATTATAGTACAATTATAGTACAACTTAGTCCAACGCGTAGTACAATTTACAATTATTATAGTACAATTATAGTACGCGTAGTACAATTTACAATTATTATAGTACAATTATAGTACAAATTAGTCCAACGCGTAGTACAATTTACAATTATTATAGTACAATTATAGTACAATTTAGTCCAACGCGTAGTACAATTTACAATTATTATAGTAAAATTATAGTACAATTTAGTCCAACGCGTAGTACAATTTACAATTATTATAGTACAATTTAGTCCAACGCGTAGTACAATTTACAATTATTATAGTACAATTATAGTACAATTTAGTCCAACGCGTAGCACAATTTACAATTATTATAGTACAATTATAGTACAATTTAGTCCAACGCGCAGTACAATTTACGCTATTCAAGGCACTGTTCTTGGCCAGCCACGCTCTGGAAGGCCTGCTGCTGCCACCACTGACCGAGACACCAAACTCCTGGCACTGGCACTCGGATTGCAACCAGGAAAGTCCAACCGGAAGCTGCTCTGGAGGTCAGCAACCAACAAAAAGCTCGATTCGGCGGGTGCTTCGGAGAGTGAGAAGCTCTACTCGCGCCAAATTAAGGTTATTCAAATGCCCCAAAAGGATGATTAGTATGCATGTGTAGAAATGTGTGAATCATGCCTCCAACGTTACCAAAACGACCCTCAACTCTTTTTTTTTTATCTCTCTAGCCCGTATATATATAATATATATATATATATATATATATATATATTATATATATATATATATATATATGATTGTGTGTGTTGTGTGTGTGTGTGTTGTGTGTGTGTGTGTGTGTGTGTGTGTGTGTGTATGTATGTATCATACTACTATATATAGTATACACTATATGTATCCGATGTTTGTGTGTATGTGTTTATTCACACACACTACACACACACACACACACACACACACACACACACGACACACGACACACACATATAGATATTATATATATTATATATATATATAATATATATATATATATATATATGTATTGTATGTATGTATGTATGTATGTATTATGTATGTATGTATATATATATATATATATATTATATATAATATATGTGTGTGTGTGGTGTGTGTGTGTGTGTGTGTGTGTGTGTGTGTGTGTGTGGTGTGTGTGTGTAGTATATTATACATATATATATATTTATATTACATGCAAATATGTGTGTGTGTGTGCATATATATAGATAGATATACACAAATATGTATGTATATATATATATACAAATACTTTTTCATATAGAGAAGTGCTTACAAAGAACAAAGAAAGAAATATATAACAGGGGAAAAAAACAATGATATATATAAACAATGCAAGGAGTGATTCCAAAAATCTTGACCTTTTTTCCCTAATATATTTGACCTGATCATACCGACTTTCTCTCCACATCATTACCATGAAACCAGAGTTCTATGATACAGCCACCACAACTACCCTATTCACCATGTCAATAACCTTCAATTATTGTTGAATGATTAGATTGCCTTAAAACTATCCTTTTTTTGTCTTTATATTTATTATGTTTTAGATTGTTTTCTATATCATCTGTTTTGACTGTTCTTTGTATGCACTTCTCTATATGAAAAATATTTGTATCTACTTTTAGCACTGAGGATGGTCAATGTATTTCCGAAACGTCTGCTACAATGTAGTTTTTCTCCGTAGTATTGGTTCTCCTTTTCAGGATCAGGACCAGATTCCCAAGGGACACATCTACAACGCACTGTATACAACGAGGATAGGCAGGAGTACCCTGGACGTGTATAGAAGGATT